GTCCCTTCGCAGCCGCCCCCTTCACACGGAGAGCTCTAAACCGCACCATTAAACTTCGATACTTTCGTCCCTTCGTAAAAAGTTAATGCTGGCCATCGGGGATTATGTAAACGCGCTCACGCCAGGCGTGGACATGATCGATCATGTAAACTTCCCGACGCAGCGCGTGAAATTTCGCGCAGTAGGTGCCAACGAACATTCTGCGGCCGCGAATTAACGGAACTTTGTATCGTGAAGTTTGATGTCCTTGGGCGAGTTTCCTGTCTGTAAGGGATAGGCCACTTTTAGATGGTGGACTGGAATGGATACTGGATCTCATTCGCGGGGTTTCACGATTTCGTCATCCTCCGGCCAAAGTATCACAAGCGCCACGCAACGTTTAAAAATTTCCGCCGCCAATTTATTTTTTTATAAAAAAATCTTTCAACGAAGTTGTCCAAAAGCTTTCACTGAATTTTCTTTGTGCTGCCGATAAAATTCAGTGAATTTTTTAAACAGATTCAACCAACAATTTCTCTGTAAAATAATAAAATGGCAGCGGAGATTTTGGAACGTCGTATGGCACTTGTGATACTTTGGCCGTAAGGTGACGAAATCTGTTGCTTCTTCGTTTTTTATCAGAGAAAAGTAACAGTAGTTTCACACGACATTTTTTAAGAAAATTTTAGAGAGAGCAGAGAATATCGAGTAATTGAAATGTTCAAGTATACTGCTATTTGTGTGAAAAAGGGATGGTTCCTCTTGAGATTTTGGAAGAATAATATGGCATAAGTACCAACAATCGAACCGAGATTTCAAGACAGATAGAGCATTACCTATTCCTTTTTATGGTTTGATATTAACAAATCGGTGCATACGAAGTGGATGCAATGTTCATGTTTTGATAATTTTTTTAATTTTGACAGAGCAGTGGCAAAAGGAGAAAGAAGGAAAACAATAAAAAACGCCAAAGAGCAAAAGGAAATTTCTCCTCATCGAGATTGCAGCATCACGCAGGCATTACGATGCATACGCAGTGCGAAACTTAAAAGTTTTGCCTGAAAATGGTAATTTTAATTTTAATTATTCAACGTTATTTCACGTTAGAAAATTCAGGTTAAAGATTCACGTTAAGACTAATTGCCCAAATCATGAAAACAATCCAGCGTAATAGCTGAGTTAAGTCTGCGGGGGGGGGGGGGGAGTTAAAATTGCGCATAGCTGTGCAATTAGTTTCTTACGAAACTATCCTAACAAAATAACAAAAGTGATACACGTTCCGGGACAAACTTTAAGACTGTCTCTTGATCCAAGACCCGGAAAGTCAAGTTGTCGAACAAAAAAAATTGAACTTTTCCTCAGCAGAACTTTTCAACCAAAGTAATGCGAGAACCTCCCTTTATCGCTATAGAACCTGGTATCACAATAGCAAAACTTCTCGAAGCTTACGATTGAGCTTGGTATTAAGCATGGAAGTTATGATGAATGGGACATTTTTAGCAGAGAAAATGCTGTAACATTTACGCGGTAGTCTCATTTGGACGTATTTCTGCCAAACGGAACCATGTGCGTAATGGCGTGAGCCCTGTTATGCATTTATTCTTATGGGTCTCAGGGCTCATGTCTTAATGCACATAGTTCCGTTTGACAGAAATACGTCCATTTGTAGTTTGGAACATATCGATGGTGGAACTACTAGACCACGTATGTCGTTTGCTGTGTTAAAAATCTCCGCTCTCATTTTATTTTTTTGGAAGAGAACAATTCAATATCATTCCTTGAAGTTTTCCCTTAATTTTTTTCGCAATGAGAAGACGAATCACGGAAGTTCTCAAGAATTGACGTTGAGTAGTTTCCTGTTTAAAAATTAGAGTATGGCACAAAATCTGCAACGTTGCAAACCGAGATACGTGGTCTGGTAGTTTCACCGTGGATATTTTGTCTTTCATCGATTTTTGAACTTAACGGGAAAATGACAGATATCTCGATTGCAATGTTGGATAATTTTGAAGGCGACAAGAAAGCATTTTAGGCCACTTCCGTCATCTTTGATTTTTGAATTTCGAACATTTAACCGGAAATTTGAATTCTACGCCAAAAGATACCTCCTGGAACCAATTATCACAAAAATTGATCGAACAGAATTGAAACAGCATTTTAGGCCACATCCACCATCTTGGAATCTCGAATTTTGAAAATTCAAGTTGAATTTCAAGTTTCCCGTCGAAAATTGCCCTCTGGTAGTCCTTGTACCAAGTTTCAGATAAATCGATTAAATAGGAGCCGCATATCGCAGGATCAGTTGGACTCTACACAGGGGTAAACGACACCAGTCAAATCACGTACGTTAGCGCGCCTTCAATTACGTTTGATACTGTGCAATACTCCAGAGGTGGAATAGTTGCTCAGAGCGCCTTCAACGGTATCGCTTCGACTTGATGGCAGAGGATGACGATTACCACTGAAAGCTTACTCTAGCGCGTGCGCAGTCGTATATTTTCTCATCACCGACGGTGAGATAAAACAATTCTTACCTCGAGTTGCAACGTTGCAAGTTATTTAATGCCCATTATATGCGGGTCAGCCCCTAAAGTAAACAGGCCCGAGGAGTTAAAAAAGCGCCAAAGGAAACCAACTAATCATCAGTGGTATTATCAGCTCACTTTTGCGTCTCTAGTGTAGAGGTTATCCGTATAAGTTTATTAACCCCTTCTTCTTTATAGTTTGTCCATCCTTAAGAATCCGTCACTATGTTGAGCAAAATATAGGTCAGAATCACACGTAGAAGAGGAATAATTCATTAAAGTAGTGCGTCGGCGGATCCAGCAAATTTGCAACATTCTTTTATCTCCCTTTAAGCCTATGGAAATATATCGATCTAGAAGGGGCCAGGTGCTCCGACAAGAATCGATTATTTAACGAAGGTTTAAGTGGAGGAAATCCGGGGTTGCCAAATTGCTGGATACGCCTCTGAAGTAGTGTGTTCGTTTGCTCCAAATCAAAAACGAGCGCCTGCATCCTAGCAGGTATGCATCACGCGCTAGAGGTTTCTGTTTTCGTACACATAATCATCATCATTATTTTTCATTATTAATTAATTTATTTTGTTTTCAAGAGAATTAGGAACATTGTGTTCCTGCATGAACTCGGCATTAGTTGCTAAAACTTGGTTTGTCGGTACTAGTAAAAAAACCAATCTTTTTTATTTAATCGCACACAAGTTGTGCGAGGAAAAAAACCCTTCTCTTCCTTTTTCACCTCAAGGCTCGTCCACTGTGCGGCAACTGACGTCACATCGCCGATCCTACGGAGCAATTCAAATATAAATAGCAGAATTGAATATTTGACGCGTATCGTTTTCTACGGAAAAGTGTTATTTATGCACGCGACTATTATACCTTTCCTGCTTTTGTTTATTTTGCTCGCAGGATTTTTGTTTCGTGGGCTCTTGGAATTTGTGATATTTTCAGCCTGCCTGCGATTTATTTCAAGTTTTCAGGTTGTTCACACCGTAGGCGTCTCGTATGGAGATCTCGTGCCACGTGTTGTATTTCCGAAACATTTTTTCTCGGCTTTTTTCTTTCTCTTTTATTTTGTCCCCACACTGAAAAAAAATTCTCGGCGTTTTTACCAAGGTCCGTTGGTACCTTTACCATCTCACTTTTTTTTACCAATTATTGGTAATTTTACCAAGACAAAATGGTAATCTTACCTAAAAACCGGTATTTTTACTATTTTTTTCAGGTAAGAATACCACTTTTATTGGTAATCAATTCTCGGTAACTTCGCCATTTTATCTCGGTAATTCTACCACAGTCGATAAAAAACATTGGCGTTTTTACCAAGGTCCAGTAATATTACCGAGAAAGTTCAATAATTTTACCGAGATTCTTTGTAAAATTACCAATTCCAAAAATGGTAATTTTACCAAGAAAAAACTGGGATCAAATAGAACCCTGAATTCTTAGTAATTTTACCCTTTTCTTAGTAAAGATTTTTTTTTTCAGTGTAGTTTTAGCGTTTCTGAGGCAATCTTGGCTTATAATGGCTCAGTTGCGTTGGTCACAGAATTGCGTTAATGCTTGACTCTTGTAGATTAGCTGAAAATAATAATAATATCCGTTAAAACAGCAACTTTCTACATTCAATATTAACAGAGATATTGCGCCTTGAAAAATTCGGTTTAAAACATCATCTACCGCGGTAGTGACACCCTTGGTTTCTTCCATCTTGTTTTCATCAGTCAGCGAAACACACATTTGCATTGGTTACTCAACGTGAAACTCGGATGAAAGCAAGGTGGCAGAAAACAAGGGTGTCATTCTGTCATTACCGCGGTTGATGACGTCATAAGCCGAATCTTTCAAAGCGCATTTTGAACGTAGAAAGTTGCTGTTTGAACAGATCTTACTATTTTTAGCTGATTTACAAGAATCAAGTATCAAAAAGCGATTCTGTGACCACCGAAACTGACTCATTACGGGTGTTAGTGGATTTTACGATATATCGATGGCCTAAGTACAAAACCACGTAACTCAATCGCGAGGTTTCAAAATTGCCGCTCCCTTCTTATTTTTTCGAAGAAAAACGAGCTACATTTTTCATGCAATATTTTTAAAATCTGCACTCTGCAAGGAATTATAAAGAACTTTGCAGTATGAGGAAGTATAAAGATTTGCTTTTTAGAATGGGTTTTTCGTTCCGAATAACAAATTTTGCCGGAAAAACATTTTAAATGATATCTTTTGCATATCCTCAATTGTCCAGAGACGGATCCAGCAATTTGGCAACACCACCGGATTTTCTCCATTTGAGCCTGTGCTAATTAATCGAGTCTTGCCGGAGCACCTTGCCCCTCCAAGAATCGATACATTTCCATAGGTTTAAATGAGAAAAGACAATGTTGCCAATTTGCTGGATCCGCCGATGCAATCGTCAGGGAATTCTCCCAAAATTCATCAGGGAAATCAAGGAAATGTGAGGGAATTTCATTTTCTGAATTCCTTGGCAACCCTGTAAAATTGTCTGGACCGGCGACAGCTTTATAGCCAATAGCCGTTGCCAAGCAATCGCTCAGCAGCAAGGACCCGTCGCGCGAAACTCGAAGAGTGTCTCGCTCTCATAAGTATAATAATGTCGGGGGCGATGGACAAGCGTTTGATGGCCTACCGGAAGCACAAGCGGGGCCTCATGAAAGTCCTGAGCGTGTTCGATTGCTCCATCTGCTCCTCGGTGATGACGGTGCCCCTCATCTACTGTCGCAAAGGTCACGGCTATTGCCAGGCCTGCGTGCGCAAGTGCTTCGACAACTCCTGCCTCCTCTGCGGCAAGAACATCAAGATGAAGAACGAGCTTCTGGACCGACTCAGCGAGTGTTTCTTCTGCCCATGCAGGTACGTTCAATCTTGCATTTCTCTACCAGGGCTGATTATTGAAATTGATAGACAAAGCCATAGACAAAGAAGACATAGGGAGTATGGAGCTATCCTATTGGTTGAAACGAGTGATTCTTATGGACTAAGCGAGAAAATGCTGGACTAACTATCGGGTCCCTCGTGAGTTGCCATTACTTAGTCTAGGACTTACCTCCTTTGCCCATTGCAACCATCCGCTTCCACCAATAGGATCACTTCCTATTTCTCTTGCCCTCTTTGTCTATAACTTTGTCTACCAATTTCAATTATCGGCCTTCTGCGGGCCGATGATTGAACTTGATAGATGAAGCCGTAGACAAAAAGGATATGGAGGGATCCTATTGGTCAAATAGGGTGGTTGCAATGGACAAAGGGGGTAGGTAATAGACTAACCAACGGCAACCCACGAGGGAACCAATACTTCGTCCAGCACTTTCTCGCTTAGTCTAAAAGAACCACTCATTTCAACCAATAGGATAGCTCCATACTTTCTATGTATTCTTTGTCTATCACTTTGTCTATCAATCTCAATAATCAGCCCGCAGGGGGCTATGCCCCTAAACCGCTTCGTGCCTTGTTGCCGTGCTTAGGAAAAACGCTGTATAAGCATTCGAAGGTTGCCAAATTTCTCTAGAGATTATATTTATTTTTGAGGAAATTTATGAGTATATATCCTTGAATATTCCAGATACTTCAGATTGAATGGCTAATAAAATCCTCTGAAGAATTCGAAGGAAAATATTCACAAATTTCCTCGGAAATTCGTCTTCTAGTGAGGGTAATTTGGCAACGCCTGAAGGCTGTTACTGCGTTTTCTTTAGTGCGGCAGCTTGGGCATCATGCGTTACGCTTTTTATACATCCCTAAAAGATCTAATTTTTTCATTTTTGAGCATTGACCTCTAGACAGCTTACAAAATGGGCCACTGGATAGTATCGGAAGTAGAAAAAAAGTCACACGTCGATGGCTTAAATGCGACACCACGTATCTCCATCGCGGTGTTTCAAAATATCTGCTCCTATTTAATTTATTCGAAGAAAAGTAAGTCAACATTTGATAGCTGAAAGCTAAAGAGAAGAAAAATTAAGTGAGTTTTCAAGAGATTAAGTTTACATGTTTTCCATCTACAACATAAAATATGGCAGGAAGTCTGCAACATCGCAAATGAAGATACGTGGGTTCGCAGTTTGACCATCGGTGTATTCTTTTTAAAATCTTACGATTTCTAGACCATCTGTACTGTGATTCGTTTTACTCGTAAAATTTTACGTAGCGCTCAGATGCGTACCTTGTCTGGAGGCCCATTGTGCACCTTAAAGAAAGTCTTCAAATCAAAATTTTACGTTGAATACGATAAACAAACTGAAACTTTCCCAATTCGACACCGAAATAAAAAAATAGCATTTTTTGTTTATGTCATTTTACTTCCTACTCCTGAAATGCCAGTCCACTTAAGTTAAATCAAGCACCAAACTACCTTCTGTACGTTTTATCGGCAGAAGAATTTCCCCATGAAATGACTTTTTTTTCTATTTAAAATCTGCAATTATTCTACTGCGGTGTGCAGTGAAGGGGGAGGATTATAAATAACAGCTGCACTTATTGTCTATCGGGAAAAAGAGGGCGTGGTCGTTCTGACGTCACTGTGATTATTTCGTGGTCGTCGATTGCGCTGCAGAGGTCAACAATCATTGCAACTTTTCCGTATAAAATCCAAATAACCGGTATGAATTTTCGGTCATTTTGAACTTTAACCGGCCGCCATTTGAGATATTAACTTCGGGTTCGCGCGAAAAGTTTTCTTTTTTATGCTCTTTCGAACGGGCTATCACAAAGGGGGTCTTCCCATTTGAAAACTAAAAGTTGGGGTCCGTTGCCTCCCCCCCAAGGGGGGCCCCGAAAATTTTAGGGGGGCCAAAAGTAGCTCTCGTTGACCTAGAAACAACCCCTAAGTTTCAAATCTTTACCTCAATTAGGTAAAAGTTAGAGGGGTTGGAACGGACTTTTGGATCGCCCTGTATATATGTCTAGGCGTGCAGACTTGTATTAAAATCAGGGCCGGAATTCAGGGGGTGGCCACATGGGCCGCGGCCCATGGCGGCAAATTTAGGGGGTGGAAAATTTTGCAATTTTTTTAAATTTAGGTATAAATAAAATCGGATCCAGAAAAAAAAATGATTAATGAGAAAAGGGGACGAAATCTCTCTTTCCTGAGAGTATAGTAATTTCTAATTTTATCCTTTTTCGGTGATAAAAGAGACAGCATCTTTAATTAGTCGAGTCAAGAGAGGAACTAAACACGCAATTTGGCCTGGAGCTCAGCGCAGAGAGGAAAAGGACAAGCCCTCGGCACGGCGCGGCGGTCGACATGTAACACATATTGGCGCCTACAAGAGTGCGTGAATACTTCCTCCATTGCGTCAAACACAGTGCGGTCAGGAGCGGTTGGCGTGAAACGCGTAGCGCCTACAAGACTGCAGGAATACTTCACGCATTGCGCCAAACACAGTGCGATCAGCCCGGCGCAGCGGCGGAAGTTAAAATTATTAAACCACATTTATGTTGTTCTTTCAATTTTTTGGTTCATTTCTCATAAATAGAGGACCTTGTTCACTCAGAGATATGTTTACGGAACTCAACTTTCGCGTAAAGTTCCGTGAAATTTTGCTAGCAGTGTTGACAGGGCTTTCGCAAAAAAACGTATTCAACACGAGTAGGTAAGCGCGTCTTATGCACCCCTCCCCCTCCGGCAGGTTCACTTGATGGTTTTTATTGATGTTTTAAAAGGAATGAGAAGGGGGGGAGCAAAATACAAGCGGCCCATGGTCGGCAAGTAGGTAAATCTGGCCCTAATTATAATACTCTTGAATTGAAATGTTGGTTATTTTGCTAATTTTATGATAAATGGACGAATTTCTGTCAAACGGAACTAAGCGCCATAGAGGGAGGAAGGTAGAGGGGGGCTTTGATTGGCGGCGGAACCGGGCGTCGGGCTCATTCCGTCCTATACTCGCATTGCTTTTCCATGGCGCCTAGCTCCGCTTGACAGAACGCGCTATCCGGCATTCTAAATTCCTCAAAAAGAATTCAAATTGGCGCTTAGTTCCGTTTGACAGAAATACGTCCAAATAATTCTTCACTTGTGTTGTGAATATTCCACAATAAAAATGTTCATTATACGATGGTATCTGTGAGGATATATGGTTCTTGAACTAAAATCCTTATCAAAATTTAAAGGATGTCCTTAAATACAGAATTTTTCAAATTTTCACACTTAAAAACACAATAGGAGCATGAAGCGAGAAAAATACCATGAATATACCATTTTTAACTCTAGAACGTTGAAAACTTGAGAGCCCTGCGTTAAAAACGTGATAAACGTCGGAACTAGTCATATTTTGACTATATCTGACCAGGAGTTTAATAAAATGCCTGATTTGGCTAACTGCCTGCGAAATATGCGCACGTAGATTTTGATGATTTTTCTCCGTAAAATTAGGATCGTTCGACGATCTTCCTCAGCAAACAAGGTCTTGTTTTACAAAATCCCTCAATATTGCAGGTACTTTGAGAACGGGTGCAGCAAGTTTGTGCCGAATGAAGATTACGACGCTCATTGCAACGCGTGCATTTTCCGGCCTTACGAATGTTACCAGCCAGATTGCCTGTTCAAAGGCCCACGGGCGGCCCTCATACAACACGTCACCAAACAGCACCCTGGACAGTTCGCCGTGGCCTCCAGCTTCGCCCTCAAGTGGCGCCGCCTCGACCTAGCTGAACCCTTCCGCCATGTCAAGCTTATCCTCAGCTTCAACCAGCTTTTCTGGTTCGTCAAACGGTCCTTTTAATTTTTATTTATTACATCTTAGTCACCATTATAGACATCTTTTACTACATTTTTGAATTTAAAATCATCATAATATTAGAGGAGCTTTCTTTGACCAGAAAATTAAACATCAAGAATGCTTTCTTAATTAAAAATTTGAATCAGCTGAAAGATGAAAAAATTCGATGTTCATATCTGGAACTCTGGAAATTTGTTTGTTTTTTTTTTCAAGAAGATCCCGGGGCAGTGGGAGGAAACTTCGGATCCTCATGAGGGAATGAGCTCCTGAACATTGGGAAAGAATCAAGGAATTAGCATATTGAAGAATTCAACACACCATATCTTACCCCACCCTGGTAAAAATTGGTGATACGAGCTGCGTTTCAAAATACCATACGAGTTCTTATAGCCGACTAAAGAGGGCTATTGAAGATCATATAGCTGGCTGTAGAAAGCGGAGCAAATCATATAGCCGGGCTATACGAAGCTATTAAAAAGTATACAGTCGGGCTATAGTTCCTATCGCCGGACTTTACACTTTATCGCCATTGGCTGTAAAAGGCTATAAGAAATTGTGTAGAAATTCGTGTGCTTTGGAAATCATTAAGTTTGATGCGGAACTACCTTAATATTTACAAAACACACATTATATTTTCCTTTAAAACATATTTTTTTTTCATCAATTAAAATGAGATGGCCCATACAGAGTGTGCAAACATTTCAAAATCATGAGTTGAAAAACGCTGACTCCGCGAGATTAAATATTAGAGCCTAACACAAAGAGGAGCGGCGACGCATTGGCGCCTACAAACCTAACAGGGATACTTCACGCATTGCGCGGCGACGCACTGGCACCTACAAACCTAACAGGGATACTTCACGCATTGCGTGAAATATCCCTGTTAGGTTTGTAGGCGCCATGCCCGCCCGCCGCGCCGGCCGCCGCAACGTACCACGGCATCTGAAGCAACTATTTCACACCAGAGGTATTGCACAGTATCATACGAAATTGAAGGCGCTCCAACATATTAAGAATGACAGGCATCCTTCAAAAGTACGGAGCTTTCCTCGCAAAATAAATCAAGAAACTACGGCAAAAAAAGAGAGCGGTAATCCAAAAACTATCTAAGTCCTAGCATCCGTAATTAGTAACGTTTAGCATAAACTTTATCGTCTGGCTGTTGCTTAATCGTCATCGGCTATAAAAGGCTATAAGAAATTGTACAGCAGGCTACAGAAGCTATTGGAAATCTCACAGCCGGCTTTAGGTCTATAGTATTTTGGAACACACATTCTACTGCCAATTTTTACCAGGGCACTTGGACCGCGTTAAGCAGAAAGGAACCAAGCCACATCAGCTGTTGCCAAATTTAATCGGGCAATTTGATGTTTTACTTAAGAACGGCTGTGCGGATTTTTGTGCAAATTTCAGTGAATTTCTTGCATAGTATGAAGCAAATTCCATAAAAGTTTCAAAGAAATCCGCTCAAACGTTCTTTTGTGAAAAATAAAATTGCCGAGCTGAATTTGGCAAAAATTGATGTGGCTTGGTATGTATATATAAGCCGGTTTTACGGCGCGCTAGGGCGCTCTGTGACGCCTACTCTCCACAGGAATCTGTCATGGTAGAGATCCTCCGGAAGCTGGCATCTCTCCATCTCTTCACGGATGCCCTCTACACACTGTTTGGCTGGATGACCTCTCCGTCGCCTACCTGGGGGGACCCACTCCAACAACTTCTTCGGCAACCTGGTATCAGCCATTCTCTGCACATGCCCATACCATACCAATTGCTTGGTCATGATATCATGATGGTCATGTGGCTTGGTTCCTTTCTGCTAAACGGGGTCCAATTTTTCCTGGAGAGTTTCTTCGTTTCCAACGCGAAGGATTCGTTCCTGATGCAGGTTCTACTTCAGCAACTCGCCGGAGAAGCGGCGGTGCATCGGCGGTGTCCAGATCGTGGCGACGAAGAACATCGCGGCCAAGTTCCACTACGAGTTCGAGATGCTGGGCCTGTCCCCGGAGCGGGAGCCTCGGTCCATCGTCCAGTTCACCCGCGAGGCCCACAACGAGGAGACCCGCAATTCGGACATCGAGACCTTCGGCTTCTGGCTCCGGCATCGCTACGTCATCCCGTACCTGCACCGACCCGACGAGTTCCTCATCAGCCTCGTCATCAGCCGCAACAACCTCAACCCCGTCCCCGGCTTCCCCAAGCCCTCGCCCTACTCCAACCCCGGCCCCAGCCCTGTCAGGGTCATGATCATGTCCTCGTAGCCGTTCTAATTCGCAAGACATTGCCAACGAGTCAGTTGGACCCAGAGACAAGAGACCCTCCACTGGCTTCTTGGCGACAGGTGGAAGCTTTTACTTGCGGAGACTCAACAATGTCTTCTGGACACTTAAAAAGGAGCAACAGTCACCACTCTTATTTCGGCTGTTGACCTACCTACTTGGTGGATGAGCCTCGGGTGACGTCATGAGCCAAACAAGTTCCCATTTCGGCTTGTTTACTGAACGAAACGGCCAACACGTTCTTAATAATCAACCATGTAGGTAGGTCAACAGTAGAATGATGAAGTCCCGAAAGTAGAAGAATCCACCGTAGAAAAAAGGTGATCAGACTTGTAGTTAAACAATAAAATGAAGTAGGAAATTCATGACAGTAGGAAGTGAGATACGTGGTTTTTTGGTTCTTTGTTGACATGCGTGGAATGCGTTAGCTAGTTATATAAGTTAATAGCCGTTTAAGAAAAGAATTGTGTTGAAATGAAAATCTTTGTTTAAGATTCTAACAGAATTCTGTGAGCACAATGGTGCGGCTACGATACGTTTCAGTCATGTTTCAAGTGCTTGCTATACGTAAGTTTTTTCTGAACCATTGAGGTTGAACTGAACCATAAAAAGCTAAAGAAGAAATGAAATCGTTTTATAGTGTTACTGAACTTGGCACAAGAGTTTTGTGATACACACCTCAGTGTTTTTAAGGGCATCCGAATAATTTACGCAAGTATGTGGTGGAAAATGTTAAAAATGTCTTCTAATTAATGCCACTGAAATATTATCGTCCACAGGTAACGTTTGCTCCAATGTTAAAAAGGAGGAAAATGCTTCCAAGAAAGCAACCGTTTTGCTGCCGAGCTAAGGAAAAACGTCGTATGAACCTTCGCCAGTTGCCAAATTTCCCTACATTAAATACGAATATTCTGGAAAACTCATGAATCTTCCGTTAAATTTTTCAGAGAATTTTCCTTTGAATTAGATCCAAATATCTGAAAATTTCAAGATAAAAATATTCATAACTCTCCCCAAAAATAACCATTTCATTGGAGGAAATTTGGCAACTCTAGAATGTTCTCACGGCGTTTTTCCTTAGCACGGCAATATTGCTCCTTTTGTCGTCGTGCGGTTAAGAAATGTCGAGTTTTTGAGCAGCTCCATGGAATTGGCATCCAGCCATGCCTGGAAGTGGGTTTGTTACGGTGGCGTTTAATTATGGAATAGAGGGCTCCAGATCAAAGTGGAAATGCAAATTGAGTCTCTCACCGCTCCTTGCAATAATCTGATACAAAGTAATGCATACAATTATGCACTATCTAGGAAACACTGAGAATATCAGTGCAGGGCTGCTTGAGGTTTTGCATAACCGATTTATCTTAGGGGCGGATGGCTGCTCCAGTTTCGAATTACTCAAGGATGACACTGTATGAAAAGCAATGCATGACTTATTTGGGTGAAGTTTCACGAGATTCGGCAAGCGCACACGAATACATGTATACTTTTACTTATTGTATTATTATTCGGATTGTTCAGCAAAAAGGAGCCAATGTAATTATTCTGTGAATCTTAATACAATCCTGCTAAGCGCAACTTCTTTCATCTCTCAATAAGACAGCTTGCAAGCCTCATCGTGTTTATTTTTACGCAAAAGACAATATAATTAGAAAGTGCAGTCTTTATCCTAGTTCCATTTTATTATCATTACTTTTTAATTCCCTTTCCCGTTTTTGTTCAATATGCATCATTAATAATTGGATCACACTTAGCAAAAAGGAACCAGCGCAATTACAGTGTTGTAAAAATTTTTCTTCTTCATAATTATCCAAAAAATCTCCCAGAATTGCAAATAGTTTTTGCTTCCGACCAAAAAGTTGTTAATTATAAAGGAAAATAATTGCGTAAATTTTAATACGGTGCATATATTAAGTATTTTTAAAAGAAAATAAAAAGTTACACGATTTTGAAAATACTATACTCGCGCTGGTTCCTTTTTGCTAAATGCGATCTAATTACTGCGCATAATTTTACGTGAGATTCCCGCTTTATATTTCGGCGAGAATTCTTCGATTGGACTTGAACGTTGAGTTTTCGTCTAATAAAGTTGGTCATACGGCGCTGTAAAATGCGTTGGTCGCGAAATTAATTCGGAAATGACTCGGGTATTAATTTGAGCATATTCATTTGCCATTGCAAGGGCATGACACGGAATCCAGCGTCTCCTATAATCGGATGGGAACGGAGGGTCTCTGTCGGCCAACCTTGACCTAAAAGTGATTATGAGAGTCTCGTGAGAGTGGAAAAATTTGCGGTGAGGATGGGGGGGGGCGAAGGTACATTATTCGCGCAAAATTGCGGGATTAAAGGGGGAGGAGGGAAACTTGACAACTGGAATGGACGCGCTCTGGTAATGCATCGTCTTCGCTAGTGGTTGAAGATAAGGCCTGAGCTTTGACAGAAATCCATCACTTACAAACGTTGCCACATATATCTACCAAAAATGAAAGAAAAATCGCTCTTCAAAGAGATGTTGGATGCTTTCTTCATGGAATGAAAAACCGCAGAAGAGTTTTCATAATTTGGAAAAGTCTTCCTGCAAGAGACGTCATTAAGTATACTCTAAATATCAGTGGCAAAGCGTAAATGATCGATTATGAATATTTCCCCATTAGAAGCTATGGTAAAAAATCGATTAGTAGGGCGTTCGTTGGGAATACTCTGTTTATCGATCCTTTTCCATAGGTTTAAGTAGCAGATCAATTGATAGATCGCAAAGCACGCCACGCCACTGCTACGTATGAGACTTTGAAACACATAACAGAAAGCCCCTTTCCCTTATTCTTCAACTTAGTATTGGACGTGGACATTTTGCGTTTGGACAGGACAAGTCTTGTCAATGACTGCTAATCCGTAAGCGCAAGCTTCAAACCATGAAAACACGATTCTGTGATTAGCTCAACTCACCCATCGCAATATTATGTGTCTCGATAAAGATATAGTAAAAACAGAATCAAGTTGAAACAATTGACTTAATTTCCTCACTGACATCTGTTGCGCTGATGTTGCGGTGTTAAGACATCACTGGAAAAAAACACATCGGATCTAGAGTCCAGACTCCTGAAAACATTAACAAGAGAAAATACTCATGATTCAACCAGATTTTTGCTTAAATCAAAAGGAAATCCGCTCAAATTAAGAGGCTTGGTTCTTGATTTAAGCAAAAAATCAGATTGAATCAAGAGTATTTTTTTTGTCGATGTTTTCAGGAGTCTGGACTCTAGATCAAATGTGTTTTTTTCCCAGTGTAGATAGGTGCGTTAGACCGGTTGAATAGATTACATTTCAACCAGAAAATCACCTCGAAAAGTAGAAATCGAGAATTCACTTGATCTGCGCCTTCAACGGCCATGTGATTTTAATGATGCGACTATTCGAGCATAGCCGCGGCCATATTGCATACTCGCCCTTTTGAAGGCGCTCCGTTAGATGAGGCAAGCCCAGCGCATGGAGCGGAAACGAACTGGTGGATTGTGGCAACGCTGGGCCGGGGCGGCATCGGGCGTTCGTCTCATTCTCGTGTGCCCTATGCCATTCATTTCCTTTTGGCACGTGAACGTGAGACGTGAGTCGCTCGTCTCGTTCTGTCACGCCTCGCGGCGATTTCGCTAATGGAAATCGAGGGAAACGCGTGAACCACCGCCGCACCGGTGACGAGTGACGACGACGTGACGTTCCCACGGTCCGCGGAAAAAGGGACGTGTGTCCACTCTCTGTCACCGGGTTTTAAGGTGAGTTATCCACAGCCCATGAGTTGACAAAATTCGAGGTGTCGGGAAAATTCACGTTTGGACCTTGACTTTTAGCTGTGGAATAGAGTGTTCGGTTGGTTTATTATTGAAATTGATTGATAAAGTGATAAAGACAATAAAGGGAAAATAGAGCTTTACTGCTGTACTAAGGAAAAACGCCGTATGAACATTTGAGGGTTGCCAAATTCCCTTAGATAAGGGTTAATGTTTATTCTTGAAGAAAGTCATGCATATTTTTTCTTAATATTCTCAGGAACTTTAGGTGAAATGGCGGACAAAATTAACTGAGAAATTGGAAAAAAAATACTCATAAGTTTATAAGGAGATTCGTGTTTTATTATCAAAGGAAATTTGGCAACGTCTGAGGGCTCATATTGAAGCTTTGTTATCATGTAAATGATGATTTTTTGATCGGTGGGCTCATACTTTCTTTCCTTGCGTAATTTACGCACGCTCTTTAATGCCATTTGATCTACTCCTTTAGGCTTTACTTTTAGCCACCAAATCGTTTTTTCTGTGCACTATACGATCCGTTCAGGCTAATTTTACGAGAATGAAATACCCGAGCATGCTAACAACCTCCAGCATAGATCCTCATTTTCCGGCCAATGTATCACAAGCGCTATGCAACGTTTAAAAATTCCAGCCGCCATTTTATTTTTTTCAGAGAGATTCTTGGTTGAATCTGTTTGAAAATCTCACGGAATATTATCTGTAGCTCAAAGAAAATTCGGTGAAATCTTCGGACGGATTCAACCAACAATTTCTCTGTAAGAAAATCAAACGCTACCTAATTCATGGGCTTGAAATTGTTCTTACGATTTCGTCACTTCGGGTCAAAGTATCTTAAGCGCCGTGCGACGTTTCAAAATTTCCGCCGCCATTTTAATACTTCACATAGAAATTATTCAATAAAGCTGTCCGAAAATTTCACTGAATTTCCTTTGTGCTGGCGATAAAATTCAGCGAAATTTTCAAACAAATTCAACCAAAAATTTCTCTATGAAAAAATAAAATGGCGGCGGAAATGTTTAAACGTCGCATAGTGCTAGTGATCCTTTGGCCGGAAGGTGACGAGATGAAGATTGTTAACTCGGCAACGTGGGAATCTTATATGGACGTATTCCTGCCAAACGGAACTATGTGCATTATAACGTGAGCCCTATTATGCATATATTCTTATGGGTCTCAGGACTCATGTCTTAATGCACATAGTTCCGTTTGGCAAAAACACGTCCATATGTGCCGCAGATTCGTCGGGGGATGTCGATGCATTTACTCACACCCCTGCCCCCGTCTCACCCTTTGATACGCTTAGAGCTCGCATCTCGGGTGGCTCTCCGCCACCACCGCCGCCGGCCTGAGAAGCGAGAAGACATTTAGCCTCGGAATAGCGGAGGAGTTCGCGAGGAAATGGATGGGTCGAAACCGATCGATGTCCTGTAAAAGTCACCGGCGAGTAACTCG